TACAGATATGGGCTGGAGAAGCCATAGAATGTTGTGAGCAGAGCTTAATGGGCAATTCTGGTGGGATCTCAGAAGATCAGAATGCTGTTAGAAATGTGGCCAGTAAAGACCGTACAGAGGGAAATGGGGACTCTATTGGGAATCAGACTAGAGAATATTCATGTTACATTCCAGCAAAGAAGTTGTCTACATTTTGCCCATGCCCTGACATTTTCTGTGAATAATCTGGTGGAAGAAATTTCAAGGAAGCGCAGCATTCAGGCCTGGGTGGCCTGGGTGTTGCTGGCAGATTTTAGCTAGGTTTACTGTGAAAATTGGAAGCAGAGAGATTTGGAAAACTTTGTTGGTCAAAGAAGCATGGGTAAAATTGGGGCCTAGGAATTTTCTGTAAAGATGTTTAAAGAATTTACTGTAAAGAGAAGTTAAGTACTTTGCTGAGACAAAGGAAAGATACCCTGAGGGCATCTCAGGAGTCAGCAAAACCACACCCATTGCAGGCTCAGGGGTGTAGAAGTGAAAACTGGTTTGAGAGACCTTGGACCTATGCTTGCATAGGGTTGCCTAGAAAGAAGTTTCCCCAGGATTCATTTCACTGTGTTTGATTGTCCAGGCATTCAGAGGTCATTGCAGTAATGGTCTAAGGGGGCCAGGCTACAGCTTGAGCTGACTTCAGACCTCAGTATCATTCACATGGTGCTAGTTCTGCATGGATGCAGGACGCTGGAATTAAGGGATACCGGAAGTTTACACTGAAATTTCAGAGAAAGGCCTGGGAGGCCAGGGAAAGTGTAGCAGGTCAGAATCCCTGCAGGCAGCCCCTGAAATATCAATGCACCAGGCTCTGAGAAGGAAGCCAAAGATGCACTGCAGACATTCTGGATTAAGAGATGCCAACAACATGGAACATCTGCTGGGGAAAGAGGCTGGCATGGACAGAACCAGCTTAAGAGAAAGGCCATTTGGACTGCAACTGGCAAGGCCATAGGGGTGGAGCTGCACAAGCCCTTTGAAGATCATATTTTGCCCTTATGTGCACTGAATACAGAACATAGAGCTACAGGACTTGTTTTCCTAGCTGGAATTTGGTCTTGTGTTGGGCCCATCACTTTTTTCTATGCCCCCATTTCTTCCTTTTGGAATGGGAATGCTACTGTGTGCCAATATATATTAGATATATGCAACTTGCCTTTGATCTTTACAGGGGCTCATAATCAAAAGTTCGCCTTGGCCTCAGATGAGACTTTGGGCTTGGACTTTTGGGCAAAACTGGAGCTGTTAAGACTATGGGGACTCTTGGAAATGGACACATGCATTTTGCATTATGAAATGGACATGAATTTGGGGGACCCAGAGGTGGAATGTTGAGGTTTGGATGAGCTCTCCCCCAAACTGTTAATACAGGAATTGAAATGATTAGATTATAAGAATGTAACATAATCTGTGGGTTAATTCATTTGATGGATTACTAATCTGAAAGTACTTCTTTACTGGGTAACTTCAGTTACTGGTTAGCTGAAGGCAGGTGTGGTGTGGCTAGAGGAGGTAGGTTACTAGGGATGTGGTTTGAGGATTATACATTTTTGTCCCTGGCTCCTCCCTCTCTCTCTCTATTTCCTGGCCACCCTGGGCCTTGAGCTGAGGAATTTTCCTCCGCCATGCCCTTCTGCTGTGATGGTCTACCTTACCTTAAGCCCAGAGCAATGGAGCCCGCTGACCATGGTCTGAACCTCTTAAATCATAAGCCAAAATAAACTTTTCCTCCTCTAAGTTGTTCTTTTTGAGAATTTTGGTCACAGTGATGAAAAGCTAACTAAAACAGTGGTGCTGGGGATAAAACCCAGGGCCTTGCTCATGCTAAGCAAATGCTTTACTACTGAGCTATATCCCCAGCCCCAATATACTTAGATTTCTTACCGGCAAAGTTTTGATCATATTAAAACCCTGACTGTCTTCATGAACTCCACTGATCCAGTCTTCAAATGGGATAATTATATTAGAAACATGTTGCATAGCTCTGAGATAACTACAGCTACTTTTCAATGTTGTCACCACTGTTGTAACAAAGCACTGCGTTGATGCTGCCCAGGCAATCAATGCTAGTGAAGTTGAACCCTGAAAGTATTCAAATCGATGAAATTTATTTAATGATAACTGTTATGGATTGAATCGTGTCCATACAAAATTCCCCAAACCTCTAATACCTCAGAATATGACTGTATTTAGAGATAGGACTTTTACAGAGGTAATTGAGGTAAAAGAAGGTCATTTGGATGTGCCCTAATCCAATATAACTGGTGAGATTGGAACACAGCACTCAGAACTAGGAGCAACCAGGAGAGGACAAAAGAAGTCAGCCATTTTTGAGAGAAGAAGCCTCAGAACATGCCCACAGCCTGAGGTTGGACTTTTAGCCCTCAGAACTGTGCAAAAGTGAATTTCTGTTTTTTAAGCAACGCAGTCTTGAGTTATTTCATTGTGGCAACCCTCTCAGACTAATATAGCAACCAAGTAAAGAATATAGAAAAAAATGTAGGAAAATAATGACAATACAATGACAAATTTGACCATGATAATCTGTTTTAGACTAAATCATATCAGAAAACATATTCTTTTACATGAAGAAATATATTCAAATCTAATTGGTTTTGAGAAATATTTGGGCTATCTATAAGGCTTCCCTCATTCATGATGAGCACCTGAATATTTGCTTTGATGATGTGAATAAAGTAACTTTAATTGATCTATACTTTGAAAAAAATTATCCACTTAGCAATTACTATATTTCATAAAGATAGGTTTTTGGTAGGAATTAAGGCACGGTAAATATATTTGATCCTTGATCAAAATTAAATGGTTAATAAAATGTAATAAATACTATTTGAAAATTTTAAGTATTTTTTTTTGAACTTTAAAAAATGTAGAAAATACTAGTAACTACTGTAGTGATGTGGTAGAATCTGGTAGAGTAGTAGTTCCTTTTCTGTCCTCAGATGCAGTAGTCACTACAAATGATGTATTTTTACATACTTTTACCAAACACATCGAACTTGAATTCAAGCAGAGTTCCAGTATAAAAGAAAGTACAGTGGGTTAAAGACACAAGTTAAGCAACAAAAAGGAAACAGACAGAAAAAATTAGAATGTTGGACATTCCATAGTGCAATTGACACAATTTCTACAATTTGATGGCAGGGGAAGAAAATGGAACATAGGGTCCTTGATTAAAACTTAAGATATGAATTAATGTACCTTTTCCCCACATCCTCACCAACACTTATTGTTGTTTGTCTTCATAATAGCTGCCATTCTGACTGGAGTGAGATGATATCTTAGAGTAGTTTTGATTTGCATTTCTCTAATTGCTAAAGATGATGAACATTTTTTCATATATTTGTTGATTGACTGTATATCCTCTTCTGAGAAGTGTCTGTTAAGGTCCTTGGCCCATTTATTGATTGGGTTTTTTTTTTTTTTGGTGCTTAGCTTTTGGGGTTCTTTATATTCCCTAGACATTAGTGCTCTATCTGATGTGTGAGGGGTAAAAATTTGCTCCCAAGATGTAAGCTGTCTATTCACCTCACAGATTGTTTCTTTTGCGGAGAAGAGACTTTTTAGTTGAGTCCATCCCATTTGCAGGTAAATGGATGGAGTTAGAGAAGACAATCTAAGTGAAGTTAGCCAATCCCAAAAAGACAAATGCCATTCTGTGATATAAGGTGACTGAGTCATAATGGAGTAGGGAGGGGGAGCATAGAAGGAATACATGAACTCTAGATAGGGCAGAGGGGTGGGAGGGGAAGAGAGGGGGCAGGGGATTAGCAATGATGGTGGAATGTGAGGCACATCATTATCCAAAGTACATGTGTGAAGACATGAATTGGTGTGAATATACATTATATACAGAGATATGAAAAATTGTGCTCTATATGTGTAATAAGAATTGTAATGCATTCTGCTGTCATGAATTTAAAAAATAAAATCAATTAGAAAATCATTAATACATAATGACATGTTAAGGAGATATAAAAAAAAAGAAACCTTAAGATATAAAACATATAATTTGTGAATCTTGTTTGTATTTCAGTTCAAACAAAACAACTGTAAATAATTTTTGGAGAAAATTGAGGAAATATGATTGTGAGTTAGGTTTTATATAATACCCAAATATTATTTTTAAAAATTTTGTATATGGTGTGGCATTGCTGTTATGTGAGAGAAAGAAAGTATGTGGGAGTGAAAGGATGTGATGTTGACTGTTCCTTTAAAAATATATCAGGCCAGGCACAGTGGCAAACACTGTAATTCCAGCAGCTCTGGAGGCTGAAGCAAGAGGATTGTAAGTCAAAGACAGCCTCAGGAGCTGGGGTTGTAGCTCAGTGTTAGAGTGCTTACATGGATGAGGCACTGGGCTCAATTGTCAGCACCACATAAAAATATATAAATAAAATAAAGATTAAAAAAAAGACATCTTGAGCGGTTTTTCGAGGCTTTAAGCATCTTAGCAAAATCCTGTCTCAAAATATCAAACAAAGGGCTGGGGATGTGGCTCAAGCGGTAACGTGCTCGCCTGGCATGTGCGGGGCGCTGGGTTCAATGCTCAGCACCTCATAAAAATAAAATAAAGATGTTGTGTCCACCAAAAACTAAAAAATAAATATTAAAAATTCTCTCTCTCTCTCTTTAAAAAAATAAAAAGAATCAAACAAAAAGGGCTAGGGATGTGACTCAGATGTTAAGCACCCTTGGGCTCAATCCAGTCCTTTCTCACTGATGAAATATATATTATCAAAATATAAATAAAAATTAATAGCAACGATAAAGGTAGCAGAATCTTGACTATTGTTTTATTTGGGTAGTGGATACACAGAAGATCTTCTATTGTCTAAAGTTTTCATGACAAAACGTTTTAGAATATGTAGCAAAAGATGTATTAATTTTGAAATGATTAAAACATGGTTAAATGAAATGAGCACATTTCAAAATGAGTATATATAATGCTTTCCTTGTTTTATGGAAAAAATTAGAAGATACTATAAATTAATAGTTATTGAGCACTTTCTAGGTCCCAGACATTGTTTACTTAGTTACTTATTTCTTATTTATTAAAGTAATAAATTACATTGTTATTTATTAAATATTTTTTTGTTGTAGATGGACACAATACTTTTATTTTTTATTTTTTAGTTGTTGATGGACTTTATTTATTTTTATGTGGTGCTGAGGATACATGCTAGGTGAGCGCTCTACCACTGATCTATAACCACAACCCAATATTTTTATTTATGTTATTTATTTATTTTTATGTGATGTTAAGGATGGATCCCAATGCCTCACATGTGCTAGGGAAATGCTCTACCACCAAACTACAATCCCAGCCCTAATTTATTAATTTTATTTATTTTTACAGTGCTGGGAATGGGACTCAGGGCCTCCTGTATGCTGAGTCAGCACTCTACCACTGAGCTACACTCCAGGGCAGACCTTGTTTGAGATGCCCTACTTGTATTATCACCTTTGATTTTACTATTATCTTCATTTCAGAGATGAGAAAATGGCCATGCTAAAGTAATTTTTCCAAGGTCGCACAGACAGCATCAGAGTGAGATCTAATCTAGGTTGTCTTCTCCAGAGCTCATACTTTTAACCTCTGTTTTGAAACTCTACCCTGCCTTTTTCAATACCCTACATGTTAAAAGTGTTAAGTCAAGCTTGGCATGGTGGCATGTGCCTGTGATCCCAGCTACTTGGGATATTGAGGCTGGAAGATTCTAAGCTTGAGCCCAGAACCCCCACCCCCGCCCCCCCAAAAAAACCAAAAACAAAAAACCAGAAAATGTACATAGTCATCCTTGATGGGTAGGACTCAGTGTACCTTTAAAATTCTTTTTTTCTTAGCTTACACTCTAAATTTTCTATATTAATAGGCCTTTTTGTAATTAAAGAAAATCTTACTTGACGTAACGATCTGCTAGTTACAGAAATTTCCACTAGATAACTATTAGTATCGTCGAAGGCACCTTCCACTTTAACTTCCAACAACATTGGGTTTCCAACTAATACTTCCACTAGTGGGTAGTCGATTATTTGAAAACCTATGGAAACAATGTCAACAGTGAATAGTGCATAATAAAAATTGTAAACATAGTTTAATAATGATGGGTTAATCAGGAATTTAGAACATCTACAGCATCTCTTATGAAAGCTAGCAAATATAGTTAGCAACTTATATAGAGGCAACTTTAATAATTCTTAAAAAAATGTTTCTTCATTTCATCAGTCAGGTTCTCAAATGTGTACAAAGGTCACTTGGATAATCCTGGCTATGTTAGTTGGTAGGGAGGTACTTTTAAGGACAACCACCTGTGCTTGTGGGGTAGTAGAGGAGCTGTGCCCCTTTGAATGACTTTTAATGTTCCTTCAAACTTGGTTTTTTGTTTGTTTGTTTCAGATAAGGCCCTATAGAGACTCTTATAAGGAATCAGCCCAAACTGCAGATTCACTCTGACTCACCCCTTTTTGGTGACCTAGAAAAGTAAATAAATTTTGCTCATTACAGCATTAAATTCTCTGCCCAGGGGCATTTCTGTCTGACATTTTTAGACTAGTGATGTATAATCTTGAACTGAGCATGCTCAGGGACATGCCAGTTCCCACATATGATGATGAATCTTTCCTATGAAACATGTACAAAAGTTTCCCCAATAAAAGCCCTTACTTTCTTTGTGGAGACAGTGCTTTGGGAATTATCCCCAGTGCTCTCCTTACTTGCTGAAAGAAATAAAGCTTTTTCACTCATAGTTAGTGATTGTACTTATTGGCTTTGTATTCATCATTTGTACTGATGCATTTGGTTACAGTTACATTGAATTGGTAAACTGTAGAAAAACTAGAGAATAGATACTCAGTTTGAGAGGCTGCCAGTCAATTGTTGCCAAGAGAAAACTCTTGGCATTTCAAGTAAAGTACTGTATGTCATCAGGCCACTTTCTGCCTATATGGGTGACCTTGCCAGGCTGAGAACATTATTGGAAAAAGATTTGACATACAATATGGTCTAACTGCCACCTTTATTAATCAGTAAACTGGAATTGAGAAGTAATAAGTAATTTGATAATGGTCCCATGTGAAGCTGTTTCCCTCAAACCAAAGTGATCTGGTAATAAGTGCTTTCTAATCTTTAATGAGGGATTTGGTTAAAGTGTGGATTAACCGGGACAGGAGTGAGGTCTGAGATTCTGCATTTCTAACAAGTGCCCACATAACATCAATGAGGCTTGTCCAGTGAACACACCTTGAGTAGCACAGACTAGGTTATTCTTCAGAAACAGGCAAGGGAGGCGACTGCTCTATTTGGGGGAAATTTGACTGTCTTTTTAATACTCCTGATTTCTGGGAAGGTCAGATAATTTAATTTTGGTTTGGTAATACAAAATTTTAGCATGAATGACTATTTTGATTTTTATTTTGATCTGTTGGGGTGCACTGCAGGAGCTTAGTGTTAAATATTGGCCTCCTATTATTTTTGTTTAGTAATCTTTAATTAAAGTTTAGTATTACTTGATTAAAAAAATTTAGATGTCCTAATTTAATTACAAAGACAGAAAGTGGAAGGCAGAAGACGTAGAGAAGTTAGCCAAAAACCAACAAATGAATGTATCACATTCCTGATTCCTGAATGTAGTTGAAACCTGACTTAAAACCCATAATGCCACTGTGCCACCGTGTCCTGGTTACATATAAAATTTGCAGACTATTTTAACATCAACCAATGAAAGGGCTGGGGGTATAGCTTGGTGGTAGAGGGCCCCTGGGTTCAAGCAGCAAGCCCTTTTCCTTATGGATTGGCCATCTATTGCAAAACCTTTCCACACTTTAAGTTATTCCACTGCTCTTGGCTATCTATACTTTTTCCAATAATGTAAACCACCTATACTTCCTTTTCCATTTTTTAAAAATTTCAAAAGTGTTACTGACTCTTAGGTCCAGCCAACATTTTTACAACTCATATCCAGCCCTGATGCTCATATTTGTAGGAACTTGTCTCAGGACTTGGTCCGTCTCTGGCTAGTGTGTGTATAATGCTTAATAAACCCTTTTATTTCAAAGACATTTCAGTCTCAAGAGTTTTGGTTTAACATAATTATACGAGAATAAGTACAGTATTCTCTGTAAAAGCTATTTTTGGTTTAAATTAAATACCTAAAATGAATATAACAAAACCAAAGTAATTAAAAGGTTTTCATTTCAGGCTGGCCTCAAACTTGTGATTCTCCTATCTCAGTCTCCCAGGTAGCTGGGATTATAGGCTTGCACCAAAGTTTGCAACTTTGATTTCTATAAAAATCTAAACTAAAATCCTGTGTAAACTTGGAATGGTCATTTAATATAATTTTCATTTTTTTTAGAGAATTTTTTTTTTTTAATTTATTTTCCAGTTTTCGGTGGACACACATCTTTATTTTGTATGTGGTGCTGAGGATCAAACCTGGGCTGCACGCATGCCAGGCAAGCACGCTACCGCGCACAACCGCTTGACCACATCCCCAGCCCCTCTAATTTTCATTTTTAACATGAGGATTATTATCTAGTTTTTAGGGCCATTATAGAAATTAAATGAAGTAATGTCTAAACAATCATTTAATACAGAGTCTTGTGCAAAAGTGCTTGGTAATTAGAAGCTTTATTTATTTATTTAAGTAGTACTGGGGATTGAACTTAGGGGTGCTCTACCACTGAGCTACATCACTAACCGTCCCCCCTCCTTTTAAAAAAATATATATTTTTTAATTGTAAATGGACACAATATCTTTATTTTGTTTATTTATTTAAATATGGTGCTGGGGATGGAAACCAGTGCCTCATTCATGTTAGGCAAGTGTTCTATCACTGAGCCACAATCCCTGCCCAACATCACTAGCCTTTTTAAAATTTTATTTTGAAACAGGGTTTCCCAGGATGGCCTCAAACTTGTGATCTTTCTGCCTCAGTCTCCCAAGTAGCTGGGATTATAGGCCTGCACCATGGTGTTTGCAACTTTGGTTTCCATTATGACTGGCATTCTATTCATAACATTAATCACAGAGCTCAGTATGGTAGTACACATCTGTAATCTCAGCAACTCAGGAGGCTGAAGCAGAATGATTCCAAGTTTGAGGCTATCCTCAGTAATTTAGTGAGCCCTCTCTCTAAATAGCTTGGTGGTAGAGGGCCCCTGGGTTCCATTCCCAGTACTAGGGTTGGTGAGGTGGGAGGACCAAAGTTAAAGTAAACATCAAGGAGTATTTTAATGGAAAAAATAAAGTATTCAAGGAAAAACAACAACTCCTTTTGATCCCCCCCTTCAACAACAACAACAACTTACGATTTGAATTAGGTATGATCTTAACTTTGAAAACCTGAGAGTTTCCCAGATCGATATACTTCACAACGTTGAGGGATAGTGAATCGTCAGATTGTTGAAACCAATAATTACATGGTTTTGAAAATACAGACCATTTTCGTCCATTCACAGACCCAAAGTTGTATAAGAACCAAGATTCTCTTATGAAGGTCATATTAAGGGGGACACTTTGAGGCATGGTAGCAAGAGCCAGAGCATTCGACGGATCCAAAATTTCCGTGATCAGGAAGCTGCTGTAACCAGGAATCACAACAGTCTTTTCTATATCTGAAGTTTTAAATAAGGAACCAGCAGCTGGAGATAAAACAGAAATGATTTGGTATACCAGAAAACAGGCAATGTTCACCAAGCACACTGGTGGATATAATTAACAAATGCACCATTTGAGCTTTAAACTATGATCTTAATGGCTGACAACATTTTAGGTTATAATTCAAATGTATTACATAGAAAGTTTATCATGAATTTGCTACTCACAAGCCCACACTTATGAAACAATTCTATAAACTCACAGCAGGAAAAAATAATATGTAGAACTAAATAAAGTTGATTTCTTCTTCTCTCTCTTTCTTTATGATAGTTTCTTGCTCTGTTGCTCAGGCTTAAAATCCAGGGCTCCAGCAATTCTTCTGACTCAGTTCTAAAATGTAAGTAGGTACTCTACCACTGAATTATATCCCCAGCAATAAAATATACTTTATTTACAGATTACATGATTGTCTATGCAGAAAATCCCAAAGAACCAATAAAAATCTCCTGGAATTTATGAGATTGTAGCAACTTTGAGGAGTATGAGCCTAATATACAAGTTAATTTTTTTCCCTATATACCTGCAAGGAACAATTAGATTTAAAATTAAAAATGTATCTTTACTTATGTAGCATCAAAAAAAAAAAAGAAAAAGAAAAAATGTATCAAGCTGATAAAAATCTAAATGATAAAAACTACAAATTTCTAGTGCAAAAAGCAAAGGAGATTTGGGCCTACTTTTTCTTCTGTTAGGCGCAGAGTCTCTGTTCTAGTGCCCTAAGTCTTTGATCCACTTTGAGTTGATTTTTGTACAGGGTGAGAGATAGAAATTTAATTTCATTTTGTTACATGTGTATTTCCAATTTTCCCAGCACCCTTTGTTGGATAGTCTATCTTTTCTCCAGTGAATGTTTTTGGCATCTTTGTCTGTATGAGATAGCTCTATTTATGTGGGTTTGTCTCTTTGTCTTCTGTTTTGTACCATTGGTCTTCATGTCTGTTTGGTGCCAATATCATGCCATTTTTGTTAGTATGGCTCTGTAGTATAGTTTAGGGTCTGGTATTGTGATGCCTCCTGCTTCAGTCATTTTGCTAAGGATTGCCTTGGCTATTCTGGGTCTCTTATTTTTCCAAATGAATTTCATGATTGCCTTTTCTAGTTCTATGAAGAATGTCATTTACCATGTCAGCCTAGGATCAGACTTCCTTAATAAGACTCCTAAAGTGCAAGAAGTAAAAGCAAGAATCAATAAATGGGGGCTTGGGTTGTGGCTCAGCGGTAGAGCACTCGCTTAGTACGTGTGAGGTCCTGGTTTTGATCCTCAGCACCACATGAAAATAAATAAATAAATAAAATAAAGATACTGTGTCCAACTAAAAAATAAATATTCAAAAAAAATCGATAAATGTGATGGACTCAAACTAAAAAGCTTTCTTCTCAGCAAAGGAAATAATCAATAACATGAAGAGAGAGCCTACAGAATGGGAGACAAGATTTACCACATGTACCTTAGATAAAGGATTAATCTTCAGGATATATAAAGAACTAAAAAAAAAAACAACTCAACACCAAAACAACAACAACAACAACAACAAATAACTCAATGAATAAAAGGGCTAAGCAACTGAATAGACACTTCACAGAAGAAGGAATACAATCAACAAATATATAAAAAATGTCCAACATCTATAGCAATTTGAGTAATGCAAATCAAAACTAAGATTTCATTTCATACCAGTCAGAATGACAATTATCAAGAATATAAGCAATAGCAAATGTTGGCAAGAATGTGGGGAAAAAGGTATGCTCACACATTGCTGATGGGACTGCAAGTTGGTGCAGCCACTGTGGAAAGCAGTATGGAGAGTCCTCAGAAGCTTGGAATGAAACCACCATTTGTCCCAGCTACCCCACTCCTTGGTTTATATCCAAGGAACTTAAAAATCAGCATATGGCAGTGATGTAGCCACATCGATATTTATAGCAACTCAGAATAGCTGAACTATGGAACCAACCTAAGTGCCCTTCAACAGATGGATAAAGAAACCATGGTATATGTACACAATGGAATATTAGCCTTAAAAAAGAACGATATTATCTCATTTGCTGGTAAATGGATGGAGCTGGAGAATATCATGTTAAATGAAGTAAGCCAATCCCCCCAAAATCAAAGTCCAAATGTTTTCTCTGATATGTGGATGATAATTCACAATAAGGGCAGGGGAAGGAGCTAAGGAAGAATAGAGTTACTTTAGATTAGGTAGAGGGGCATGAAAGGAGGGGAGGGGGTATGGGAGTAGAAAGGATAGTAGTATGCATCAGACATTATTACCCTATTACATATATGACTATATATGACTGGTGGGATTCTACTTTATGTACAACCAGAAAAATGAGAAATTATACTCCATTTATGTCTGATGTATCATAGTGCATTTATTGTCATGTATAACTAATTAAAAATTTTAAAAATAAAGGAAAAAACCAAAGAAGATGTAAGTAAATGTGAGACATGGCATCTTCATGGAGTAAGAAGTCCCAATATTGTTAAAATGTCATTTCAACTATAAATTTCATCCAAACGAAAAAATCCTTTTTGTGGGGAGTAGGTACTGGGGATTGAACTCAGGGGCACTCGGCCACTGAACCACATCCCCAGGCCTATTTTATATTTTATTTAGAGACAGGGTCTCACTGAGTTGCTTAGCATCTGGCCATTGCTGAGGCTGGCTATGAACTGGTGATCCTCCTGCCTCAGCCTCTCAAGCTGCTAGAATTATAGGTGTGTGCCGCCTAGCCCAGTTGAAAATCTTAATAAGTTATTTCATTGATATCCAAAAAATTTGATCCTAAAGGTTATTTGGAAAGTCAAAAGATGGAGAATGCTAAACACAATACTGAAGAATAAATGTACAGGAATGACATACTGACCTTAAGACTTACTATAGCCAGGTGTGGTGGTGGAGCACACCTGTAACCCCAGGGACTCAGGAGGCTGAGGCAAGAAGGTCACAAGTTCAAAGCCAGCCTCAGCAATTTAGCGAGGCCCTAAGCAACTCAGTGGGACCCTGTCTCTAAACAAAATACAAAATAGGGCTGGGGATGTGGCTCAGTGGTCAAGTGTTCCTGAGTTCAATCCCTTGTGCCCCCTCCCTGCCAAAAAAATGCTTACTATAAAGCTGCAGGAATCCCCATAGTATGATATTTGGGGAAAATAGACAGATTAATGAAACAAAACCAAGAAATTTAGAAATAAACTCTTACAAATATAGTCAACTGATTGCTCACAAAGGAGCAAAGGAAACTCATAAGAGAAAGTATGTTTTCTCAACAAATGTTGCTGGAACATTTGGACATCCATATGCAAATAATGAACTAGACACAGAACTTTCACAAAATTAATTCAAAATGAATCATAAACCTAAATGCAAAATGCAAAATTTAGAAATTAGTTTTTTAAAAAAATTTTTAGTTGTTGATAGACCTTTATTTTATTCATTTAATTATATGCAGTGCTGAGAATTGAACCCAGTGCCTCACACATGTGAAGCAAGTACTTTATCACTGAGCCACAAGCCCAGCCCCTAGTACTCAAAGATAATACAGGAGAAAGTCTAGATGAATCTGGGTTTGGCAATAAGGTTTTAGATAAAAAACCAAAAGCACTGTCTATGAATGAGGAAATTGATAAATTGAACTTTATTTGAATTGTCTCTTTTATTAAAGATTCTAGGAACTGAATGCAAAGACAAGGCACAGACTGGGACAAAATATTGGAAACACATATTTAATAATAGACTGGTATCTAAATTATACAAAGAAGTCTTAAAACTCTTAAGAAAACAAACAACCAATTTAAAAATGGGAAAAGTATCTGGAACAACATCTCATCTGAGATACACTGATAGCACATAGGCACATGGTGAGATACTTGGTATGCTATGCCTTTAGGGACTTACAAAGTAAAACAACATTGAGGTGCTACCATAAACCTAGCAAAGCAACTAAAACCCAAACACAGATACCACCAAATACTGGTGAAAATGAGAAGCAATAAGATCTCTCATTCATTCTTGGCATGAATGGAAAAAAGAAGAGTCATTTTTGAAGACAGTTTGAAATGTTCCTACAAAGATAAGCCATAAGAGTCAGCATTCACACTGCTGGTCATTTCTCCAGATGACTTGGTCAATGTCCACACAAAACTCTTCACTAAACTTAATCAGAACTGCCTTAAACTAGAAGCAAGATTTGCCTTTCTAAAGTGGAATGGGCAAACTGTAGTATATCCATACTGTCGAACATTACTCATGAAACAAGCTGAATCTGGAATGGCTATCTACAATATGATTCCAAGTAAACAACATTATGGAAAAGGCAAAACTATAGAGAGGGCAAA